GATGAAGGTGATGATACTATGTGGATGACTGACACGTAGAGAGAAACCTATTAGATTAATAAGTTATTAAGCAATTAAGTGAGAAAAAGTCAGAAAAAGGCTAGATTTATGATATCATTAGGAGAGAGAACTTGTGTTACTCAGTGGTGCTTGTGGGCAAAATTAGAAGTTGAACTTGGAGATTTATCCATGGGTAAAGGAAGAAGTTCTTTCACAGAAGGACATTGGATAGGCACTGTCTGACAGTCTTTGGGCTACCATAAATTGCCACAGACTTGCTTGGCTAAATAATAGAACTTGATTTTCTCACAGTCCTGACATCGATGCCATTAGCCAGGGCTTGCTCCCTCTGACAGTTTCAGTGAAGAGCTTCCTGTGGCCCACTGCAACTGCTGAGGGTGTTCCTGCTTGACTTGAGTTAGTTTTAAGTATCAGCTGCTCCAGGCATGTTGCCTTTGAAGACCTGAACAAAATTGAAGATAAGTAATAATTTCTTTTAGTTCTGGTGCAGAGTAGAGTATCTGCCTTTCCTATAGGAGTGAATTAGTGGCACTGAAGTAGCAGTCAGACCAGGGCCCGTCTGCTCAACACATCAGCCAGGAATTTAGCCCTAGTTAGGCAAGAAACCTTTTCTCAGTGGGACAGGACGTGGCCTTTATTCTTTAACAGGTTGTAGTTGGTAGACCAGATGAGCTAATGAAGAAATGAAGATGACAAACAATAATGGCAATGATGTAAACATATCATCTCCTCAGAAATCTCATTGGAGTCGTCATTGTTTTAAGAGTGGAGAATTCCTTTCCCTACAGCTTTGGTGTAGACCTGATATGTCATTGTCGCATCGGGGTTGTGTAAGTTACCATAGAGGCAAATCAGTTACTTCCATCCCATTGTGAACCAACTGTGGGGTTCTTTGCATACCTTCATCACTGTATCTGTTAGGAAGCTCCCCGGGTTTGTTTTGTAATCTTGAGTTTTTCATTGAAAGGATTCAGCAAACCTGATGGTTTTGCATTCTGTGTGCTGATGAAATCTCTGCAGTGTGTTAAGGCAGCCGTTAATGGGAAAGGGCCAGAGATGAAAATTAATCCTTTGAAACATTTGAGAAATCTTACGCTAAAGGGACAGACTTATTAAGGGCATCTGTTTCAGTATTGCAGTTTATTATGGCAAAAATGCTTTTATTTCTGTATGTGATATTACTTTATACTTTTAGACTGATTATTCCATGCTTGTGTTTTCCCCCCCTCCCATTTTATATTTGGTTAAATATTTGAATTAGTCTGGGGCACTTAGTAAGATTTTTGAAGTATTCTGTCATGTGTTGTTTGTCACTACGTATATAGAAAATGAGATAGGATGAGGAGGTAGAGAATAAAAGGTGTTCAATGGAAAAGTCTTGCTGTTGCAAAATCTTGCATCTTGCCAGTGAGTCCTAATTTCCTTTAGAAACCAACTAGGCTTGCTGCAGCTGTCAGATGTGGGGTCAGTGAGAGGTGGAGCAAAGTCTCCTGTTATGTTCCTGTTCTGTTTTGATAAGTAGTTTCATTTGGGATAATCTAATCTCTGTGCTTCTCTGACATTCTCTGTTGAAGTCTTCAAATTTTAATGGCAGTATCGTATACCATTTCTTTGTCAAGATCCTTTCATTGCATTGGTTGGATGTTACTCCACTATCTTTATTTTGATTTCTTGCCCTGAAAATTACTTCCTTTTCAATTATCTAGATATGTTTAGGGCTGCCTTACTCAATATAGTTGATTAGTTGTTGTGAAAGAGATGTAATCTTGTGGCATCAGAGAAAGTGGTTATGAAGCCTGAATTGGAAGACTTTTCTCAATCAGACAATATTAGCTAATTCTGTTCTGCTAATTCTGTTCAGTCTAATTATAGACTGACTCTTGGTGAAAGAATTTGGAACATGAAAAGCAACTGCTTTTCACTAAATGGAATATAATGATTAGTATTTGTGGTATCTTCCCCTCTCCCTTTGTATCTGCTTCTCTCACTTCATCTCTCTTTGTTCTTGATTTTTTTGAGTACTGTAATAATTCATTCCAAAAGTGTCGGTCATATGTTGGCTTTTAACCATTTGTGTCACAGAGTATCCTGTTACTGTGGGTGGATTAATTTATTAGAGGTGATTAGTATGGTGGTACGTGGTTTGGTAGTGATTAACAATAATACAGCATGAACTAAGAAATGATCATCAGTTTGTGCCATAAGACTGGGCCTGAAGTACTTGTTTTGCATAAATATCGATTCAGATATTTGAATTCAGGTAAATGTTTTGTCATAATATACCAATGTTGATTACCTTAAAATATTTTCCTGGTGGTGCAGTGGGTTGAGCACAGCGCTATGGAGCTATCTCCAGCCTCTACAGCATGGGTTTGATTCCCTGCTGGCCAGGGAGATACCCACATGGCACGGCAGACCTCTCTTGCCTCACCTGCTGCTCCCTTCAGCAGTTCTCTCAGTTTGTCTGCCTGTTCTGCTCCCTGCTCTGTCTCTGGTGAATCCTCTCACCATTCTGTGCCTCTGGCCTGTACCCCAGCTCTTGTAAAAATAAAATAAAATAAAATGAGATGAAAGGAAATGAAATAGTTAATGTCTCATTTTTCTGGGACGCAACAATATTTGTTAATTACATACTTCTTGTGTACATATGTATTCAACCAATAACTTCAACACCAGTTCTGTCAGTCCTGTTAATGTCATAAGACCGACCTGCTTGTATTTAGCAATGCTGGCATGGAGTTGTGAGTGGGGTAGACCCGGGTAATGGAAAACTGGTGGGAATGTGCTCCCAATAACATTCGAAAGGCATTTTCCTTCATTTTTGGCAGACCCAAATTCTAGGTTGGCAGCAGTGAATTGAAGATTTACTTCTTCATAATTCACTAAGAGTGACCATGTCTTCCTCTGATCAAAAGGTGTGACTCATGGTGTGTGAGTTTATGTACTGTTGAGTCTTATGAAGAAAGCAAATCTGTTAATATCTAATTAGGAATATACTCAGATTGTTCAGCCTAGCAGAATATTTTTCAGTAGCACTAGGCTGGCCATCAGGAGGTCTGACACAGGTTCTGCCTGGTTCCTGTGGAACTCCTGCTTGATCTCTGTGGAGAGGTTTCTTCATTTATGGAGAGAGTACATTGGAATATCATACCTTTGATGTCTCCTTTTGTTTTAAACATTCTGTGGTTTTATTTAAAGTGAGGATACTTTTCCTAAATCTTTTCTTCCTAATGATACTTTTGGATTTGACATTTTGAAAGAAAGTTATGACTGTGGTCAAATTTAGTTTGACTACTTTGAAGACAGTTTGTAAAATTTGGCTCTATATTCTTGAAATAAAAATTTCAAGCTATATGTGACTATTTCGTTATTCCTGGTTTTTCTTTTGGTAACTGGACAGCCTGGGATGTTAACACGCTTGGGTAATTGCCATCAGTGGCTCTGCAGTAAGTGACGTGGGCTTTGGCTGATTTTGTGTTAGCACACTATATCATGGAATACCACTAAGAAAGTTGAAAGGATATTTTAGAAATTATTTAATCTATCTCCCTCATTTAGTAGCTAGGGAATATACCCCAAAATATTTGCTAATTTATGGACTTAATGTGTATCAGAAAAAGAACATGGATCATAATCTCATCTGTTAATTTTTTTTTTAAATATGTGAACCTTGTAAGTAGCCTCCTTTTTAAAGGTCAGGTTTTAAATACAGTTTAAACAGTCTCTTCAATGATGTACAAAATACTCCGATGAAGAATGAAATGGCACTTGAATGGCACTTGTCTTGCCAAATATATTTGGCCTTCTAATCCTGTCCTTTCTAGTTCTTTATTTCCTTATTTGTTTGGTTTACATTATAATATAAGGCACTGTTTGAGATAAATATGTTCAATAGTAAATACAATTTTTTTTAAAGATTTATTTATTTATGCATATAAGAACTGGGGTACAGGCAAGAGATGTGGGGGTGAGAGGATCCACCAGAGACAGAGTGGGGAACAGAACAGGCAGACTGACTGAAATACACTGCTGAGGGGAGCAGCGGGCAAGACAGGAGAGGTCTGCCTCACCAGGTGGGTTTCTTCCTGGCCAGGGATTGAACTTGTGCTGCAGAGGCTGTGGATTGCTTCATAGTGCGGTGCTTAACCCCTTGCGCCACCAGGGAGACCCGTAAATACAATTTTACTTTCCCAAATTGAACTACTGCAATTAGAGAGATAGCAAAACCTCTCCACTGTCTGTTTTTTTTCCTTACCTTCTCATGTATATTAGTGTTGGAAAATACTATCATTATTTCCCCAATAGACTAGGGGAAGACAGTCAGTGAACAGTAAATACAAAACTAAGCAGTGATAGATGCTTGGAATAAAAATAAAGCATGATCAGTGGCCACTGATGAGTTTGTGCTGTTATTGGTCCATCCATCCTTCCTTCCTTCCTTCCATCAATCCATCCATCCATCCGTGTATCATGGGCTGGGGAAGGACTATGCACTATTGAGCTATGATCCTGAAGCAATATTTAGAAGTAATGGGTGTTTTATACCTGGAGCAACATGACATCATGGGTGTTTATCACTTTTGTGTGGAATGTAAAGGGGGTTTAGGATGGCCCCAAGAGTCTAGAGGCAAATCCAGACACACTAGTATCTAATGTCAGACATTTGCCCATTTGCATTAAGCAGCTACTTTTTGTTCCCCTCTCCTCCAGTGCCTCTCAACTGTTCATCTACTTTCTGTCTCTGGATTTGCCTCTGTTGAGCATGTCATATAAATTGGATCAGGTCCTATGTGACCTTCGTGTCTGGCTTCTTTTACTTGGTTTATTGTTTCAAGGTTCATGCATGTTGTGGCTTGGATTAGCACTTCATGACTGCCAAGGATAAATAACGTCCACTGTGTGGATGCTGCTGCCTTTTGTTTACCCATTCGTCATGACCATTTGTCTTGTTTTTGCTTTTGGCTATTGATAGTGCTGGTGTGATTGACATGGTTTGGCAGCACATATACAAATAATTGGCATGATGCAGAGGTTAGCATGGCTCTTGCATGAGGATGACATTCAGATTTGTAAAGTGTTCCGTATCTTTAAAAAATATGCTGATACATTCTCATAAAAACTTGTATACATGTTTGTTTCTACTCAATGCTTTGAGTATAAACTAGGAGTGAAATACTTGGATCATTTGGTAACTGTATTTAATTTTTTGAGGACTGCTCAACTGTTTTGCACAGTGCTGTACCATTTTACATTCTCATAAACAGTACCTGAGGGTTTCTGTTTCTCTATATCTTTGCCGATACTTACTACTTTCTGTGTTTATTAAAGCCATCCCAGTGCATGTGAGTGGTCTTGACTTGGATTTTCATAACAGCTAATCCTGTTGAGCATCTGTGCATCTTTAGAGAAATGTCTATTTGAATTTTCTGTTTAAAATTTTAGTTGTTTATCTTTTTTCTTTATATTCTAGATAATGGTCCTTTATCGGAAATAATTGTTTGCAAATATTTGGTGGGATGTCTTTTTGCTTTCTTGACAGTGTCCTTGATGGACAAAAATTTTAAAATTTGTTGAAGCCCAATTTTTGTATTTTTTTACATTGTTAGTGGTTGTAGTGTCATGTTTTTAGTCCAAGGTTACAAAGAGCTGCATATATTTTTCTTTCAACAGTTTCAAAGTTTGAGCTTTCACATTCAGGTATTTGATACATTTGGAGCTAATTTTTCTGTGTCATGTAAGATAAGGTTCCAGATTCATTCTTTTGCATGTGGGTCCTCTTGTCCCACCACCATTAGCTGATCACCATTTGTTCAGTTGCTATTGAGTTGCCTTGTCACTGTTGTCAAAAGTCATTTGATTATAGGTATATGGGTTTATTTTTGGACTGACATTTCTATTTTCCATTGAAATAAATATATGTCTCTATGCCAATATCACACTGTTTTGATTACTGCAGCTTTGTGTACTAAGTTTCGAAATTGGGAAGTATATAAGTTCCAGTTCTCTGATGAAAACCTCCATCCTGTCCATTTCTCCCCACCTGTATTTTCTTGAACATTCTTGAACATTTAAATCACACATATTTTAAACTCATTGAAAACTAATATTTGTATGATATGTGGGTATTTTTTCTCTTGTTTTCTCATTTTTAAAAATTAGTTATCTCTGATAATTTTGTATCAAAAGCCCATCATTGGGTCTGAAAATTGGATAGGCTTTATAGAACATCAGCATTCTCCAAAGATAATTCTTCTGTTCTTTACCATGATGGTAGTAGATTTGTTGGTTGTCCACCTTAATCCAGCATGTCTCAAACTTTGTTAGGCAGTACATAGTATGTATGTATTACTGCAGAAGTAATACAGAATAAGAGGTCCGGGGTAGTAGAATAAAGCATTGCCTCTATGTCTTAATTTAGGTTCACAATAGCCAAATGTCCTGAGGGATAACACCAGACCCCACCTCTCATTATGGTTTCCCTTTCATTTCTTTTTGACACAGCACTCCCCAGTGCTTTTTAAACAGAACAATTTTTTTTTTTTTAAATAGCTTTTCTCTTTTTTTTAGTTGCAAGATTGGTGTGCCACAAACCACGGAATCATTCACTGGTGCACAAGTCAATGGCTTTATTATTCTGTAAACAAAGGAACAGATCATGATTTAGTTTCTTTTTTCTTTCAGGAAAAACATAAACAAGAATTGGAAGACATGAGGAAAGCTGGTCACGAAGCCCTCAGCATTATTGTGGATGAATATAAGGTAGCTTTGACAGTCTGTTTCCTTTATTCTTCCCCATTTTGGCACACTTTAGGAAATCTACATATGTAGGCCCGTGCAAACATGCACAAAGTAGAATTGTGGTATAGTCTGATTTTGGTGATAGAATTCTTTCAGGTGGTTAGTGGGTGTTTATTGAAGTTGTACTTGGCAGATCAAAAGGGTGTTGCTAGATGGAGCTCTGTGTTTGAGAAGTTATAAAGAAGAAATACTACTATAGAATTAATTGCTAGCTTAGCTTTTTTGGTCTCTACTGTGGTTCCACCTCGTATAGTGAGGAAAAAAAAAAAGTTTAGCATGATATGAATCTGAAAGACGCTGTATGCTTTATTTCCCTCAAACAGATTTATATTAACAGAATCATGGTGGATATATCAGGATACACACAGTATTATTACTCTGATTCTGTGCCTGCATAAGCTTAATCGAACTTAATCATTTTAGCAAATTGGGAGTTTAATGACATAATCTATTTTCTCTGTAAATTCTTGTTAGATCATTTCTCTCCAAAACTAATAGAGGAATACATTCTTATTGATATTGAAGGCAAACAATATTTCCCTAGAGGTAACCACTGTTAGTTTGGTATGCATCCTTCTAGAGGTTTTTCTCCATATTTCCATGAGAGAGAGAGAGAGTGTCTGTATAGAGACACACACACACACTCACATAAAAATTATACATATGTGCTAAATAGTTTTGATTTCCTTTTATAGATATATTACTCTGTTTTATTGTGTCATTTACTCAGTATAACTTAGAGATATTTTCATGTCAGTACATACAAATATATCCTATTTTTGCCACTGTTCTATTGTAGTCCACTCTGTGTGTGTGTGTGTGTGTGTGTGTTTATGTAAGTAGGCATTTAGTTTGATTTTGATTGTTCATTATTACACTGCATGTTTAAGAAATATTCTGTCACATATGGAATAGAGATTTTTTTGTTGATTAAACTTCATCCTTATACTTGATAGCAGGTGATGTCATTTTAGTTAGCTGTTAATTTAGATGGCTTCCTGTAACAAGTTATTTGAATAAAAAGTAGATAAAGAAACAGATCCAGAGTTAATTTAAGTAAAAGTCTTTTTTTAATACCAAAGTAGCTTCATGGAAGTGTCTTGGGACATGAGAGGTCATTTTGTGACAACACCATATACAGAAACTGCTGTCATTGCTGGCGAGGTCATTACGAGTGTCTGGTTTTTACAGCTGTGATTATTGGCTCTTTTTATAATGTGAATTTTTATTTCTACTAATATAAACCAGCTTTGCAGTTACTGAGTTTGAGAAAAGTAGAGGGATTTTTTAAAATCTTTTTTTTCTGTGAGATTAAGCATGGGAAGGATTAATTCTCCTGACTAAGCGATTTGATTTTGAATGAATTTAAATTTTACTTAATTTATTCATGAATTCTACATTGAATGTTATGGAGGTATTAACATTGTGTTCCTATTTTTTTTTAAATAACTCAATATTTGATGTTTTAGGACCTTTTTGAGTTCTAATTCTGTGTTTCTTTTGCTGAAAACATGTTTATTATATATTACTTTCAGTACTGGGAATTAATGAGGTTAAAAGCATATGTAAAAACTTTGCAAATGTTATTTTGCAAATTTCATTTTGAAGAGACTTGGTTGAGAATTGTTCCAAACCTCTTTGTCTAGTATCATTATTGGACATTCATTTGGAAAAGAGGATTTCAAAGCTACAGACATTAGATATTCTGATTTGCTAAAAAGAATTAGGAACCAAATTAAGTCACTTAAAAAGTTATATTTAACCTGTCATATGATAATTATAGTGGATTAACAGTCAGACTATAAAAGTTCTTTTATAGCAGGGATCTTCAGTGTGAAGAGATTTCATTCAGCTCTCTATGTTGATTGAGTTTCACATTTGCATGATGATAATAGAGTACTGTGAGGAGGAATAACATCTTATATATGGATTACCATGTAAGATTTTACTATGCAGGTGTTTGGGAAACATACTGAAAATCTACTCCATAGAAGTAAAGTAATCCAGAGAGGAAAAGAGGAGGTGCTATTTGTGTGGTAGGTTAGATATGTTTATAACAGAAGTGTTGATTTGTGACACACTAGAGAACAATAAAATAATATTTTTTTTCCATTCTAAAATCAAGCATGAGTAGTTCATGTGATAATTATTTTAATGTGTGTCTCTTTTCTCTAGAGAGCAACTTTTTCATTGATCTCTTTTTAGGCTTTATTCTGTTGAAATATATAAACATTTTCATGGATGATTTGTTAATTATTAGATAATTCAAAATGAACCAATTCCAACCTCAAGTTACTGTGGACACAAAAGTAGTGTGAACATGCTCTTTGCATATATTACTAATTGAACAATTATTATCAGCTTGCCTGTGTTTGCGAGGGACTGTTGTAGATATGACCTTGAGCAAATCAACAGATTGTTGCTCCAATGGAATATCTGTTCCACAGCCACCCACCCTTGGTGTGCACATGCCCTAAATAGGAGGTGTGGGACCCCCCAAAACCATAGCTTTCTTGGATTTTGACTTGATTTTCATGGCTTCACATTTCATCTCTCTTATCTCAGCAGATCTTTATTCAGAGACGCAGTTAGACTAGAGAAGTCTGCTGCCATCCTATCACTCACTAGTCTAGATTTTTAGGGAGCTTACATTCTCCTGTTTCTCTTGGATTAGAAGTGATTGGTCACTTTTTTTTTCTTCAACTTCAGTTAAGATATTGTCAAGGAGTTTGAAAAACATTTTATTAGAAAAGATAGTAGAAAATACCAAGTAAAGTAAAAACAAAAATGACAGAACCCTGAAAACATAAACTATAGGAAGGTATGCATTATTAATGTATATTAGAACATATTGCTACTGATTAAAAAAAAACTGGGCATTTATATAAAACAGACATTAGACCTTGAAAGTTAGTAAGAGAAGGCATCTGACAAGGAACCCTGGGGTCCCGGTGACTATATGACACCCAGTTCCTGGACTTTCTTTTTTCCTTCATTTTCCCAAGAGGGCCTGGTGGTGAAGTAAGCAATCTAGAAGTACCAGTGAACATGGACAGTAGACTTTAAAAAAACCCTGCTCTCACCCAAAACCCAGGACATCTCCACCCCTCAAGACAGAATATTGTTAGGTAATGACCACTCTCCTCCCACCAAACCACACAGAAACTGCAGTCCTGTTTACTCTTCCTGACAAAGGCTAGTTATAGCTGTATCAAGGCACCTTCCTCATCCCTTAGCAGGTATCAGGGAAGGCTGAGTGGGAACCAGAACCATCAGTGCCACTGGGAAGCAAGACCCCTCTAGGATTCAGGGTCAAGGTAGATGTCGTAGAAGTTTAGGTGCTCACCCAGCTCGGTGGTCATGAGACCCTCGTCTCCTTCCCTGTTGTCCAGGTGTCCAGGGAGGTTTAATGGAGATACAGGATATTCACTTCTACTCAGTGTAGCAAGACTTTCCTCTGCAGAGTCAGTGGAGCCACGTGCAAGTGATGAGGTGGCTCCTGCCAGCCAGAATGATGTCATTTGAGGGCCTGTGGGAAGCTCAGCTCTCAAACATGTCCAGCAAGAATGAGATCACCTCAAGAGTATATAGTAGTAATAATGCTATTACATGGACCTTGGGTGCCTTGGTGGTGGTATAGTAACAACACCTGAAGAGGAGATCCTGTACCTCAAAAACACAAACATTTTAAGCCAAAATTACTTCAAAAAAATAAATCTGAGCATTCCCACTCTCAAAAATAACCTACCAAATCATACCTAGTAGGCAGACTCTACTTTTGAATAGCAGGGAAAGGGAAACCTATATGAACATGCTTGAAACAAATAAACAAAATTTAAAAATTTCAGTAAAGGAAGGCACACTCAGCAGAGTAATTACCTTGAGAGGAACCAATGGAAATTTTAAAACTGAAAAAAAAATAGCCAAACTTAAAAACTTAGTGGATGTGCTCAATGGCAGAATGGAGAAACAGAGGAAGGAATTAGTAAACTCGAAATGAGTAAACACAGCCCTTTTGAGCAATAGAAAATAGATGAAAACAAATGAACAGGGACTTAGTGATACATGGGAATGTAACAAAAGATCTAAAATTTTATCAGAGTCCAGGGAGGAGAGGAGAAAAGAGGGTGGAAAAATTATTCAAAGAAATAATGGCCAAAATTCCCCTAAATTTGGCGAGACATAAAATTATATATTCAAGAAGCTGAGTGAACTCCAAACATAAACAAAAAGACTACATCATAGCACACTTATTATTTATTGTTAATTTTTATATATCAATAGGGTTGATTCATAGTACCTACATTTTGAATCCCAGTGTTTCTGTGAGGCTGAATTTTGAATAAGACTGACGTTTAAATGGGTGGACTTTTTAAAAAATGGAGACATAATTGACAGGATAGTTTCAGGTACTACCTAATGATTGTATATATTCATTGTGAAATGATCACCACAATAATGTACTTAACTCTTGTCACCATACATAGTTACAAAAGTTTTTCTTGCAATGAGAACTTCTAATATTTACTCTCTTAGCACCTTTCAAATATGCAGTGCATAATTAACTGTAGTCATCATGGTGACTGACTTATTTTATAACTGGAAGGTTGTACATATTGACCCCCTGACCCATTCCACCACACCCCCCCGGAACTCCATCTTCAGCTTCTGCACCCACCACTATATTTTCTGTCTCTATAATCTTTTTGGATTGAGATTTCACATATCAGGTAACATGTAGGTGAGGTCATATGGTGTTTGTTTTACTCAGTCTAATATATTTCACTTAGCATAATGCCCTCAAGGTTCATCATGTTGTTGGAAATGGCAAGACTTCAATCTTTTTAATAGTTGAAGAAGATTCCACTTTACACCATACACACACACACACTTTTTTTTTTTTTAAGATTTATTTATTTATAAAAGCACTGGGTACAGTCAGATGTGCGGGAGGGTGAGAG